AATAACTTTGTTTGACAGCCTTTCTCAATGCTGTTTGTCATTCTTTTTTCCAGCCAAACACAAATGAGTCTTAAAGGCAGAGGATCGACTCAGTGATGTTCGTTACGCAGCAATATCTAAGTAAAGTTAGCTAACGTTAGCTACCCTTAGCCACCATAAGCTACTGGCCTTACCAAACCAAGTCAGGCTGTAGCAATGGATTGAATTAAGCTTGGCCAGTTTCATTGCTTATGATTTAAACTTTTTATTTGTGAGAAGGTGAAAGTGTTCCTTCCTATTGCAAAACTTATATTGTCTCACTTTAATGCTCAAGCATTGTATTCTAAGTTTGAAACTATTTCTATTATGATGTTATGATGTTATGACACACAAAGTAAGAAATTAGTAGCAAAGTAAAGTAAGCACTAAATTTGATTTGAAATACCTTTTCTGTGATTGTCCAAACTATTTGGCACTCAAAGAATGGCACTCATTCACACAATTCATAAATCCAAACCATTTGGCATCTTGAGTTGCATTCTCTCTTTCTCTCTCTCTCTGCCACACACAAAACAGAGTTGCTCACTAATCTTAAAAATGAGCTGCGCCCAAGGTGGTGGATACAGCTGCTGACAAATTGCCCATGAGTTGACCCCTGTTTTCTCACAAACTCTTGACTTCAGCAATATGAGCAATGAGAGACAGTTAATTACAACAGAAACCTGAATATCAGGGTGACTTTTTTTTGGCTATACTGCCATCCCTTCTCTTTCTATTTTAGTGTGCATCCTGTCTCTCTTTCTTTTTCACTGTCTTTCTCTTGTTCACCTCTTCCCTTCCTTTCTCTCACTCACACCCTCTCTCTGTACACTCTCTCACACATGCTTTTCCTCTCTCTCTCTCTCTCCTGCCAGGATTTTCTCTGTATTCCCTTTGATCTTCCTCCTCCTCTTCCTCCCCGCTCCTCACCCTGTTGAGGCTCTTCACTAACTTTAATTGAGGAACTTAGAGATCAGCGGCTGATGCCATCGTGAAGAGTCACTCACAGGGGAAACCACAGCTCATCTTACTTTGCATATATATGCGTATGTATGTGTGTGTTTGTGTTAATATAAATTGAGATATTTGCATGTTTATGTTTACACTTCCCAAATTTGTATGCACATATGCACAACTTTGTTTGTGTGTGAAAATGTCAGGGATCAGGAGTTGAATTTAAAAAATGTAAAAAGTGGTGCTTGCTAATTGTGTTGCTGTGCATACTCCGCTCCTTCACCCGCTGTAGTTTCTGGCTGTTTAGCAGCTCTTTGATCAGCAGATAGTGAGATGGTAGGGAGGCTGGTTATGCTGGCTTCCCCGCCTGATGCACGGGTGGCTTCACTACACATTCTGTACACAGTGAGAGGCTGGACTGTTGGTGTGTGTGGTAAGAAAAATAAGAGAGGATAGCAGTACATAGGCTATGTATATATGTAGGTAAAGAAATAGTTTTTGGTGAAAGAGAGAAAAGGCGAGACAAAGAGAAAGAGAGAGTGAGACAGAATAATTAGTTTTGCCTTGAACGAAGGAGTGCAAACAGCTTTTACTGGCTGCCTGGCAGGGTCCTTTCTGATGTTTATCCTGCCTGTGTGTACTTCTAAACATTACCACCAGCCACTGCTGCTTCACAGCCAAGTTACGATCTCTCAGCCTCCTTGTCAAAGGTGGTTTTCCTCATCTGTCAATGAGCATTTGTGCAGCAGAAAACACCATATTGATAAAAAAGCACTTGCACTTAGCATCATTTCACTGAGTTCAATCAACACACAGCAAGTGCAACATAGTACTCTGCGTTGCCAAATGTTTTGCAAAAATGCACTGAGACGAATGACATGAGACACCGAACATGAAATAACAATTTAAGGCAGACTGCATCAGCTGTCTCCCACTCCAGATTGTATCCTCCAACTAGCGGATTCTTATGTAATTTTATAAATATTAATACATATCCGTAAATACCGTCCAAATAGCCTTCTTATTCAAATCAATAATGCTTTTTTCACAGTCGGACAAAACTAGGTAATCCTGTTTTCTGATATACCCCCTCAGAGCAAATCTACTAGCTGTGACATGTTGCCTGTTGCCCAGTCAATAACAGCCCGCCTGCCTATCTGGGGATGGCATTAAAAGATAAGAAAGACTCTCATTTATGGACAAATGTGTTCATATAGATTTCCCATACAATCCATCTATAGTATGTTGTAGAGAGCTTACCTCTCATATTAGCAGCCATGAATCAACCCTCTTTATTGACACATGGAGTAATTCAAGTGTAGCTGGGTAATCAGCATGTTCAGTACAGGCTGTGACTTGTTACTGTACCTATAAATAAAGATATTACATTGGTTCCACGGGGGCTGTGAGATTGCAGGATGGTGAAGTAACACCTTGGATATTAATTAGAACATACTGGATTAGCCCAAACATAGATAAAATGTACTGCAAAACTACTCCACCTTTTCACCTATAACATAAACAGGACTATGTGACATTTCACAGATTATCAGAACTTCTGCGTCTTTGATGTGAGCCATGGGGAAATGAATTTAGGACCAGCCCTTGTGGCAGTAAGGCTCTTTAAAGAACAAGCCTTCAAGGAGCAGTTTGCTGTATCAAGGAAATTCTTCTTTGCGTTTCTTACAGGGCTGTGATGGTGTCCCTCAGTGTGAGGAGCAAAGACTGCAAAATATCCCTAACCATGTCCCTCAGTGAATAAGAGAGGGGTCAAGAGACTGCCAATGTAAGCTGTCGCGCTGTATCTAAAATGAAATACGGGCGTCCACATACATATCAAAGATACCGCACATGACAACACTCAACATGTGAATACACTATTCCTGGTATCTTCAGTGAGCTGAGTTTACTAACCCGTGTTTGATCCAGTGTCTAATTAATTCCTTAAGTTCTTGTGTTTATAGCAGGGGAGGGGAGAGAGGGTACGGTATGTAAGGAGAGGGGATCTGTCTTTGAAGTCCTGTTCTGCAAATCTCTAGAGGACAACCAAGCCCGAGGCTGGACTGAGGCTGTGGGGAGAGAAGCAACAACCACTTTTCCACTGCAGGGCCAAAAATTGGGGCTCGCCATTGCAGCGTTTGCTCCACTGAATTATGTTATCTGTTTGTGTGAAACAATATAGCCCATCAGAAAAATAATGTCCTAAGGTCAACAGAGAAGCTTGCTTTGATTGAGACTGAGAGGCAAATAACAACTAAGCCTTTCCTAGCATTGTTTGGCCCTGCTCTGGAATATGGGCTCTTAGCAACACTGAAAAACGAGATTCTGCAATCCTCTGCGGTACACCCCTCCCCGTGCCTAACTAGCTAATGAACTATCAGCTATCTATCTTCATTCCACCCAGGGCCCACTTGTCCTTCCCTGCAGACAGAAGCTACTTCTTGGCAGGTCTTGCTGAAGGGAATCCAAACCTCCTGGCTCCAAAGTTAAGTGTTGCATTCTTCTGAAAGTCATTTTGAGGTGAAAAACAGAATCCAGTGATGCTATTTCTGTTGTTGTAGACAGCATCATCAATATTTGTCAACATGAAACAACCCCATTCCCAAGGTAGACACCAGACAGCTGTAATCACGTGATGTCAGCAAAATAGTAAATAGTCATAACAAGCTGCACACTGGCTTTGTGGAGTAAATGATTGCTATACAACAAGCTATATGGTCAATGACACAATGTATGGAAATGGCTCTTTGTAAAACTGACAGTTAATAATAAGTGTGTCAAAGGAAACACATTTCCTTCATAATACAGAGATACACATGACAAAGGTGTCCAGTGTGTACCTTATGGACAGGTTAAGTTTTATTTTGCTGCTTACATCAGCATGCAGATTAATATACCTATAGTTAGCATGTTAACATTTATGACAACAACTAACAACAGGCATTTTGACTTGTCAAAACAGAAAAAGCACAGCTGTAGCTAATAAAAACGATAATGGCTGTACTATATTTAGGTGTATCAGAAGTTATTGGTTAGCTGGTTGGCTACCTTTACACTGCAAGCCTAAGCACTCAATTCTGATTTATTGCTCAGATTAGATTTTTTTGTTTAGAATACTTTTAAAATGTGACCCACATCAGATTCCAGTGTGAACAGGTGACAGTCCTGTACTGACCCACATGAATTCTGATACAACTGTTCACACTAAGGGCGCATTGCAAATAGTCAGAGCTGTATCTGATTTGGATCACATCTGAAAGTGGCCCAAATCATGATCTGAAAAGATCAGATTCATCCTCTTGGGATGAAAACATTGGATGAATGGATGAATAGCCAACGCCATTCGTGTGATAGTTGTCAAGATATTTTATCAGTGTAGTACAGTGTTCGACAAACAGACTGAAGGTCATGCTGGCCACAACTGGCCTACATCCTACAGCCAACGAGGATAAACAAATAGATTGAGTTAATGGTGATTTAAGGTAAAAATAGCATTCCATACATCACTTGCAAAAGAAGTTCTTCTTCAAGACATGTAGACTTGATAACCTGCTTGTTGGGATTCATGTAGACTTGATAACCTTTTAGCTATGTAAATTCTAATAATGTTATGCAAGTGGGGTGACATATTTTCGCCATTATTATGCTGTTTGGAAGCAGAAAAAAAAACATGCTTCTCAAAGATTCATGTTTTTCATAGCATGAGACATCCACAATGACAAGGACGGCGATATAGATTAAATTCAATATTTTCATACTTAAAATATGCCTACTAACAGCCCTGAAAACACTGTACCACGGTGTTAAGAGCTTTTTAGTTGTAGGAAGATAGTTTTGTATGGATCATACCATGTTAACTCAAAATCAAACCTTTAAAATGAACCATTGACCGAGTTCAAAGACCATTTCATCTTGACTAACGTTTAAAATAATTACAGCCGTATTTTTTTTGTCACTTTCTATTCAGCACAAACACGTCAGTTTAACTTTTGGCCGCCCAGTTACCCACACAGCTCCCCTCTCTGGCAGTGGTTTGCTCCTCACTCCAGCTGATCGGCCCAGGATTCCCCGGTGGCTCTGTCCGTCGCTGGCTTTGACGGCTCCGGTGTCTCACGTCGATTTAAACTGTCTTAAGTTCACGGAGTCAGTGGCCGCTCGTGTCGGCAAGTCGTTCCTCGTCTAGTGAAACTGTGGAGGATAATCTGGCCGGGGTACTGACTCTGTACTTGTCAAAGCCAGGGGATCTGAACGCAAATACGAGGCCCTTACTCCATCCCCGGATTCACCTGCTACGCGGAGAGCCTCACACGGAAGACCGACATGGGGGACACGGGGAGCGAGGGCAGCAAGCCTCCGACTAACGTTAACGTTATCCCCCCGCGCTGCCCCTGTGGTTTCTGGGGGTAAGGCCAAATATCTCTCAAATGTCTCGCTTGCAGATGCTTATTCTTCTCTGCCAACAGCTAGCAGAGTCGCTAGCCACTAGCGTTAGCAGCTCAAACAGAGATGAGCTGCTTTTCTTGTTATCACCCCCCCTCCCCATTGTTTTGTAGCATTAGCTGCTAGCTAACACCAGCTGGCCTCGGTAACCTTCTCCTGTGGAGGTGGAGAGCAGGTAGGAGTGGGGGATTAGCACCTCCAGGTAATGGGACAGGTGTGACAGTGCTGGTAAAGTGGATAGTTTCAAAGTGTTTAAGTTCCTAAATGAAGCAGTCGGTTAGAGATAACACACAGAGCAGCTGGTGAACCATACACTGGACTTGGGTGGAAACTAGCACGGATGGTTGTTTTTGTCAGTTCAAATGAGCTGAAAGCAGGATGTGTGCTACTATAGTGACACACACATACACCGAGTCTTCTTAAGCACAGTAATCCTCATGAGTACATCTTATCGTGTGAAGTGAACACAGTCGTGAACCTGAGACACTGTGAGGTGTCATGACCTTTTTTTGACATTAACTTCACATGATGTAGATGTGTATGTACATATGTGTATGTATATGTACACACACACATAAATGTACTACTTTACGTAACTTAGGTTATCATGAGTTATGTTTGGTGCAAAGGTCCCACTTTATATAGGGTTTGGTGTACTTGTTATACTGTGTTTGTAAACATTGGGGGCATAATGTGGTTGATTTAGTTGGACTATAGTAAATTACGTATTAAATACTGTATATGAGTGACACCCAAGCAGGCCAGTGAAGACTACATGCTATATTTCTCGAGATTATGAGTATTAAAGTTTCTTTTCTTTCCCCGTTATTATTCATATAACCTATAAAAGTCGCCTTAGTAAACTAGTACCTAATTCAGTATTTGCATATTTTAGGAAGTGATCTGGCTGGATAAGCATGGAAATGATGTGAAACAAAAACCATGGCATTGTCAGTCACCAGATACCAGAGGCAGTGTTTTGCAACATATTTCTGAATACTCTTCTTCTCACAAGAACGTGATGACAAACTTGATCAGAGTTCACTGGGGTTCCAGAAAATCTGTGGGCCTCTCTGAGTCTTGTCACAGTATCAAAACTAAGCAGTAAAAGTTTCCCATTTGCTCACATAGGGATTTTGTGTTCCGCATTAAATGTCCTTCCCATTTACAACAGTCTAGTATAACACTGTGAGGATCTGCCCCAATGTTTCCACTCTTTTGAGTAAACCCATCTTAGACCGAGTCACAGCTGTGACATGGACACAGATTATTTCATTTCCTATCACTACTGTTCTCGTTGTAATATCCAACTACCTGTCCATTGTGATGCTTTTGCCCAGCATTTATCCAGTCACTCATGACATTTTAGCTGAACTTTGTGACTCAAGTCTTTTTGTAAATCTTTATGTTTTAAGATGAATCAGAACTGCTGTCAGTTACAGTATTGCCTGAATATGTTTTTCTGTCTTTTTGGGCTCGCCGTCTTCTTACATGGCATTCAGTGACATCATACGTCTTAGCTGCTTTCCATGTCTGGTCCACGTCTGTGGTAAATGTTAATTGGTGGTGCTTTCCAGTCAGTAAGAATTTATTTCCTCTATAGCAACAAAACACAAAACATGAGCCGCCTTATCTGTAGGCTAGGCTTACAGCAGCAAAAGTTCACTGCTTCCAACTTCTCAAACGTTAACGTTTTCTGGTTTTCTTACTTTTATATAATAGTAAAATGAATATCTTTTAGTCAGACAATAAGATAAGAAAATAAGATATTTTGATAAGATAACTGGCTTTTTTTTCTTATTTGCTGACATTTTGTAGACCAGATAATTTAAGCACAGACTCATGAGTACATTTTATCTGGTGTCTCCCCAAAATTAAAGGACCAGAACCAGTGGTGCAGTCCAGCAGCCCGTCAATGCGTGGGGGGAAGTTTAAAGACACCAGAGTGTTCAGTGGAAGTCTTGCTGTTTCACAAAATTGGACAATTCCTAGACAATGTAGTAGGATAATGAAATAATGAAAACTTTGATTTATCTGTAATGCCCCAGGGTACATTTACCAGGAGGAATGCACAATAATTATCGTTCGTAAATTACCGGGTTATGTAAATGAATGAACTTTACTAGAAAAAATAAACAAACAACAGAGTCTGTTGCTGTGGTAACATTAGTGTTGTCAGTTAGATTTGGTTCAGACCTCGCTATGGAACATTAAATCCATTATCTTTGCTCTCTACATCTTAGGCTTTCTTTTTTTTTTTTTTTTTTCTTTTTTTTTTTTTTTTTTTTTTTTTCTTTTTTTTTTTTTTTTTTTCTTTTTTTTTCTTTTTTTTTTTTTTTTTTTTTTTTTTTTTTCTTTTTTTTTTTTTTCTCTTCTTTAGCTCCTACTTTTTTTTTTCTTTTTTTTTTTTTTTTCTTCCCGCCGGCCCCCTTATTTGTTGACAATGGGTTTTGCCA